TAGGAGCTTATTTTCCTTCAGGTCTTGCTCCTTGACTTTGCATATGAGGAGGGCGATAAACACTTGAATTTTGACTTCCAAAGCCATTTCCCCAAGAGTTAGGAGGATTACTCCTCCACCCTGAACTGTGATTACCCATAAAGTTTGCCTCCTCTTGCTTAAATTTTGGGCTTACAGGAGCTCTTACAGACTGGTCTTGGACCTTCATTAAAGATTCTAGTTGCTTTGCAAGGGCTGCTATTTGGTTAATTAGTGGATTACTGCTCTCTACTTGGTGGACTGAGGCAGTCTCTTTTCTCTTGATGTCGTAAGAGTCAGCAGTGTGCCACTGAAAGCTAGAAGATGTCGTTTCATCTATGAGCTTGTATGCATTATCTGGATCTTTTCTTATGTGAGACCCTCCTGCTACGGCATCAATTGTAGCCGTGGTGGTGATTGATAGGCCACTGTAAAAAATTTGTACCTATCTCCACGTTGGAAAATCATGATGAGGACATATCCTCAAAAGCTCTCCAAATCGCTCCCATGCTTCGAATAAGGATTCTGCTTCATATTGTTGGAAGCAACATATCTCCGTCATAAGCTTAGAGGACCTTGATGGGGGAAAGTACTTTCCCAATAATTGTTGAGTGAGATCCTTCCAAGTTCTGATGGAATTGGCTGGGAGTGAGGAAAATCATGCATTCACTCTTTCAAATACTGAGAAGGGGAAAAGGCAGAGTCGAATAGCATTGTTGGAGACTCCATTGTACCTGATGGTATCCGTCAATCAGAGGAACTTTGTCAGATGAAGATTGGGGTCTTCGTTAGGCATGCCTCCAAACTATATCGAGTTCTGGACCATGGTTATAAGTGCTGGTTTCAATTCAAAATTGTTGGCCTCCACATTAGGTGCCGTGATGCTTCTAGGAGTGCCTCTAGCAGTGGGTGTCATGTAATCTTGAATTGATCTCCTTCCCTTTGCCATTCTTTGCTCTCTCACTTCTTTTCTTTGTCTACGTGTTGTTCTTTCAATCTCCGGATCAAATACACAAGTTGTAGAGCACTTAAAACGAGTGAGCATACATTAAAAAAAATTGTAAAAAAAAGAAATAAAATTAAAATAAAATAAATACAAAAATTATAAAAAAAATAAAAAAATAATTAAAAAATTTAACAATAAACAAAACAGAATTAAAATAAAGTAAAACACAAATTGCTTAAATCAATTAAATTTGAAAATTTCTTAATATTGAAAAAGCAATCTCTGGCAACGGCGCCAAAAACTTGTTCGGAGGGCAAGTGTACCCATCGAGAAGTAATAAAGGGTTCTTATATTAAGTTCCCGAAATATCGTCCCACAATGATTGGTTTTCAATTATTAAGAATTTTCTAATTCAATTGTTTAAGCTTCAAAGATACAAAATTAATTAAAAACAAGAATTTATAAAATTAATTATAAAATTAAGAGTAAGGAATACAATGCACGTCTTGATTAAACTTATCGGAGAAGAACCTAGGGCGTATGGGTGTTTTCATTCAATCCTTTATGTTATTTTTCTATTTAGATCTAAATCTGATTTCCTGGTAATTACTAATCATTCATACTAATACTATTAATATCCACTGGTCATGTAATAATATTCTTTTCTCTAAATTAACATCCCCAATGGTCATGCAAGACATCAATTAAAGAAAGTTTAAGGAGCCTATGAACTTGCTAAATTAATAACGATTAGAAGAGAAAGATTGGTTTGGTCTACCTAATTCTTTGTCTCGTTTTGTCCTATAGATCTATTAATTAACAGAGGTACGGTCGTCTGACGATATAATTAATTAGAATTAAGAAAAAAGCGCAATAGGATAAAATCTAATCACAAAGCGGAAATCAAATTTAGATTCAAACATCAAAATCTTATAAATTCATGAATGATAGTTCTCATAGCGCTAGCTATGGACTTAGTTACTCATGCTAAAGAAAAGAACTAAAACAATCATAAACAAAGCCATAAAGAAAAGAAATAGCAAAACTAGAGTGTGATGAGTGTTCCCGGTCTTCAAGTACGATCGCTCGAAGCTCCAAGTCCCGCCAAGAGTGTGCCAAAGATCCCGTGCAAGAGAGACGAGATGAGATGTATCCCAGAGTCAAAGACTAGATAAAAACGGTGTGTCAAAGATGTCTTCAATGGTGCATCAAGTCTTCCTTTAATAGGGATTGAAAACATGCTGCAAAAGCTCATTTTTGGCGTAGTGAGTTGAAGAACCAAGTTCAAAGAAACTTACTTGGATCTGAATAGTTGAGCTCCCAAGCCCGAATTCGAAGGATGATTGAAGTTTAGAAGAGAATTTCAAAGAAGAGAAGGTGAAAGACTATATAGAATAGAGGGGAGGTCGAGATTTTGGATTGTAATCCACGTTTTTTAGATTGAAGGCCCTTAAATACCCGTTAACTCGCGATATTCTCACTACAACAAGCTAACTCTCGCTAAAGCAAGAGATTCTTGCTACAATCAACCCTCCTCTCCCTGTAGCAAGAAAACCAGATAAATTTTTTTTTTACTGTTTGTCATTCTAACTACAGTAATAGCATCTTTGTTACAGCAAGAGAAACTTCGCTACAGTAAGAGAAACATCGCTACAACGAGAGAGCATTAAAGAACTTAATTTTAGACACTCTTCATCGCTACAACGAGATACCCTACACCAAAACTCCTACTTTTTTATACAAGGGCCACAAAATTGAAGTGTTACCGTTTAAATTTAATTTTTTTTTTTAAAATAGTGTTTCATCCTTAATAGAAACTAAATTCAATATAATTATGACAGGTGTCTTAATTTCCTATTTTTTATCTTCTACAAATGAAACTTAATTAAAAAAATGAAAAAAAAGTTTTGTCCTATGTTTAGAGAAAATTAACGCTGATGTAATAAAAAGATCCCAAACTAAAAAAAATTTTAAAAATGTATTTTAATAATTTGTTTTTTAAATTCTTTTTTTTCAAACCAGAATGCACAAACATATCACAACCAATGTTTTAAATTACAATTGCGACTATGGAGTGCTGAAAAACCTTGATATTGCAATCAAAAGCGGCTGCTATTGCGTTTGTGATGCAGTTTGAGAGACCCCAAAATCCTTACGCTGTGATCACAATTGCAGTTATGAACCACAATTTGAAACTTTGATCGCAGCATTAACAAAGGATTACACATTTCCTATACATGGAACTATTGCTAGATATGTTTGGATTAAGACAAAACCAGATATTCATCCTCTTTGTAAACAGTAAAAACAAACTCATCCAACCAAATATATTCCCTGAGTCTTGCCAGGGCCTACCAAAAAAATTGCCAAGGCTTTCTCTGAAATTTTGTGACCTTGCATTGCATTCCATCCGAAATTGGAATCTTTGATGAAATCAACTATGTGATCCGGCCAATCAAGTAGGCCCCAAAACAGCACATATCCCAGAGAAGGGACAAGTGGTAGTGGTGCCTTGGAGTCCTTGTATGTATGGGGTAGCCGTCTTATGAAAATATACACAAAACTGTCCAAAATCAAACAACAAACTGATGTGCTGCTTCAATTATAACATCACTCATGATGACATGCAGCCCACCAGTGTGGTCAGTACTTTTATTGGTTTGTTTACTTGTTGAAATCAATTAGTCATACACAAAGCCTAGCTGGTTGTCAAGTAAGAAGCGACACCAATAGACCCTACAATTAAAACTGTAAAAGTGGAAACAAATTGAAATTTGTAATAGCTTGTGAACAATCTTGATGCTCCATTCCAATTTCTTCTATCTCTTTTCTCAGTGGTCTGTTAGGAGATTTTGGTGCACTGATAGGAGCCATAATGGTTATATAGATCTTGTAGAACACTGGTTAAGGAGTTAATAAATAAAATAAGTTTTTATCGGAAATCATGTTACAGGTGCATTAGAAATCATGAGAGAATGTTTAATCACAGTTTTCAATATAATTTTTCTACTTTTATTTTAATTACTTAACCAGTGCCTTTAAGACACTTGCTAGTATTTGTAGATGGTTATAAAGCAATAGCCAGACTTGATGCGCAGCAATTAACTATTATTCAGAAGAATGATGACTAGATGATGAACAACTTTGGCTTTGGTGAAAGAAATATTAGGAATTTGATTTTGACCATGCTATAAGCCATATCTCCTCCTCATCTTCACTCTGTTATCTCAACTTGCAAGGAAATAGTAGAAAATTGAAAGCCTGAAAACAAGGAAACGGGAAAAGTTAAAGGGTTTTCACCCCGGTGACCCAACTAGCCACATACTAAAAGATCTTTTTGGTCATGGTGGGAACTGAGCTAATCTACAAGTTTCATCTCATGCTGCACAAACTACTATGAGTCATAAACTGATGAAAATGTCACACAGATTTGCCTTAGACAAACAAATGAAAAGCAGTCAACAAGAGGAAAAGTTAATGGCCGATGTTAAACAAAGGAAAAGGAAGGAAAAGATGGGGTCTGCTGTCAGTAACCGGATATGAATTTCCTTTAATATATTTACCTATTGGTTTTTTATGACTTCTATGATTGGGGTTCAATAAAATTTATTGGGATCATTTTACAAACAAAATTGTGCATAGAAAGAAATGATTGGAACAATCTTAACTTTTAGACCAAATACTGAATTTTTGTGACATTGGAGAGGATACCGATAAAGTATCCTAACTAAACAGGGAAAGAAGCCATTAGAATACAAATTAAGGGCGCTTAGAAATATATTAAACCCCAATAGTGGGACTTAAGGTGTGAACTCAATTCATTGTCTTTGTTTTCCTTGTGTGTGTACTTCAAAAATTTGAAGAGGGGTACATCCACTTCAATTATAGGGAATTAATTGAATCGACAAGCAATTAGTACATAACGGCGAAAAGGAAGTGCGAGGGGTTAAGTGGCAAGAGGGGCAAATCACCATTCGGAATTGAATAAGATGGGCATGATGAAATTACTAAAAAGTTATTCAACCAAATGAAAATGCAAAGACAATGATGATTTGCAATAACCTCCGTCCCTCATCATTAATTGAAGGATTGGAAAGGAAAAACTACACATATACACCTTTCATGACCCACCTCCCCACCAACATGCTGTAAAGTATTGGTTACCCACTATTTCTCCCCCTTTCTGACTTAGCCTACTCACCTATTCTAACAAAACTAAAAAACAATAGTAAATCCACTTCTTATACCTCCAGGAAGAAAAAAGAGAAAGCTGGAGAGGACTAGATCTCCATTTTCATGATCGAAGAGCTAAGCAAGTAGTATACCAATAACCCATTGTTCCAAAATCCACAAAGAACAAAGAGTAAGAAAAAAAAGAAAAGTAAAACTAAGTATAATAAACAGCTTGGAAGACTACTGGACTCTAAGCAAGTAGATGCTGAGCTCAGGAGCACCATTGCTATCAGGATTCATCATGTAGAAAGCTTCAGAGTCTCTGGAGCCAACAATTCTCTCAAACTTGGCCCTCATGTACATGATTTCACCCTCTGAGCCTGCTTCAGTTCCTGGAAGAACACCTGCACCCATTGAGATTGGCTCAACAGCTTTGAGGATATCCCACTCCTTTGTCCCACACTCTCTTCTGTTAGCAAAACCACATTTCTTGCCATTGCAATATGTCCTCCACACAGGCTCTTCCAGCAGCCTCACAGCCTTCTTCTCAGCTTCTTTGTCCTTGTCACATTCCAGAGCAATTCTAACCAACCCAGATGCCATTTCACGGACCAAACCACTGATTGGTGTTGCAAGCTCAATCATGAAGGCTGGCTGGGAAGTGGGGTCCTTTTGAAATGCAAAATGGACATGCCCACGTCTATATCCAAAGAGGGTGCCAACTACACGAGAACCAAGGCCAAAAGATGTGTTTAAACGGTTCTTGCCAAACACAGTAAGAACTGAGCGAATCCTGGAGATTGCCACTGCCTGCAGCTTCCTCCTTGTTGCAGGTGCTGCTTGAGCCTCAGGAGCAGCAACAACAACCTTTTCATCCTCTTTTTTCTCCTCTTGGATGAGTGTTGAGAATGATTCTGAAGTGGGAACTTCACCATCTTCTGTCCCAACCTTGTTGGTCCAGTGAAAGTGCCTCTTAGAGGACATGTCTTGAGAGCTTCTAGCCATCACTGTATTCATATCTGAGAAAGAAAATCACAGGGGTGGCTGCTGCTTAAAGAATAGAAAGGAAAGATAGAGAGACAGACAAAGAGAGAATCTAGTTTCTCTTTTTTATTATTGGTGATGGATGTGTGAGGCTTAAAATTTAAGTAATAGTTCATGTTCGTAATCCCAGTCCTCTCCTTTGTTATATAGTGAGTGCAAGAGAATCCTGACAAAAGAAACATGGACAGTCCCCACCAGTTGATGTAGGAAATCAAACAGGGATAGAGTGCATTACAAGTGGAAAAAGAAAGGAATCTAAGGAGACAACGTGTTTGTAATTTCACTTTCTTGTGGGGCAGGGAGAGGGGATTGTGCTTGACTAACTCTTTTGACTTGAGGCCCCAAAACGGTAGAAAATGATAAAAAATAAAGCCAAAACCAACAAACCCCAAAGCTATCACTGTTAAGTCTCGACATGCCACTCCCTTAGCACTTCTTCTGCATCATGTCTTCTAGTGCAATGGTTCACGGTGGTGACATCACTCATCGGTTCAAGTTACTGAATTCTCGTGGCACATGTTGGCTGCAGAGACAACATTACACCTACCTACGAACTGACACGTCTTCGTTGGCCCCACAAAAAGTACTCTATCCTGCTACTGCTACTATTTTGTTAATAAGAAATTTGTAATTTAACCCAAAATCATCTCATCAGAGTTCCTTGTTGAAGAGGCATCATCAGTAGAGAAGAGATAAATCCTCACATTGAATTATAAAACAGACATACATGTTTTGGTAACGGGTAGGGGACAACCTTAGAATTTGAAACGTTAATAAGCACAACATCTACAGTACGAATTTCCATTTTCGTGTAAGGACTAGGCAGGGATATGCCTCCTTTAACTGTAACCCATGCTGTTTTTAACATTTTCCATATTTATCATGGTATGAGAATTACAAAGCACGCTTGTCTATTAATTTTTATTTAGCTAGTTACATAAGAGATTCGAGATTCCTACTACTAAGGTACGTTGATTGGAATAGATACACGTATAGTTGACACAGGTTTGAGAAATTCTTTGGGCAATGGACTCTCGAAGGCATTCATAAACGAGGACATGGATAATAAACTATCATGGGACCCGCATTGCTGTCGTGAAACCTTCATGGAATTATTATAATTACTACTTACGGTCTTCAAATTTAAAATCCTTTTAACCACGTCTTAACAATTAAAAAATAATATAATTAATTAAACTAATGACATAAAATTTGCCAACAATTTATATCATTTTTCTAGAACTAGCCTTATTCTTATTGAGACCCTTTCCTACTCTTTCAATTTAATTTAATTGACTTTAATGTGTACCTAAGACTAATGTTAAAAAAATGTAACCTTTTAATTAAACTTATAATATTCAATGTTATTAATACAATAAATAATGTCTTGGTTAATTTAAATAAAAAATTAATATATAAAAGTTCTTATTATATGCTGTTAAACATAATTAGAAATTAATTAATTACTTCATCTTTGTTAAAGATGTTTTTGTAAGAATAATTAATCCAAGAAAATTTCGACAGGAATAAAATTTAAAACTAGAGGTAATATAATATAGATTATAATAAACTGTAACAATCTAATATAGTCACTATTGTAAAAATTAAGAACTCTTAGTGTGGAAGATACAACAAGTAAATGAAATAATTTACATGTAATTCTAAATAGAAGAGGGTCTAGACGGACTCCAGTAATTACATTAACTTACAAATATGGATTACTAAAAGAACACAAATGGCGAGCACATCCACATAGGCCAGCAGACTAGTCAATGGGTTTTGTGCAAAATCGAGCTAAATGAACGCACTGGAAAAAGTCAGAGATGCTTGCCTATGATTCAAGAAAATAAAGATCCTAAAGTTAGCTCTCTAAACTCTGGTCAGCGTCCGGCTGTTTGGAAGTAATGGCTCCTCCATTCATTCTAGCTCGTGCCTCTGCAAACATCCTTTGCTGTTCAGCCAATGCTTCTTCCTCAGTCATCTCAGCTCTGTTGCTCCACTTGGCACCTTTTAAAGAGTCTTGCTGGAAGATTACAAAGTCAATCAGAAAAGTTTATCTTTGCTGAAGTCAATCTATAAACAACAGTCATTTACTGAATCAAAATTCACTTTTCTAGTCTAATTGACCAATAATACGTGCCCACGCTCATGGCTTTCAATGACCACAATGAGCATTGGTATAAGAATTCAAGAACCGATACCAGATAATAGAACAAAAATCTCTAGAAAGGACAATGAACAAACACAACCATAAAAAATCACAATGAACAAACACTCAAATTTACTTAATGGAATACATAACTTCACAAGCATAGAAAGGACCATACACACAACGAAGAGTAATGCTAGGCAATTTCAATTTTACGAGCCAAAGTACAGGCTGTGCTCTCAAACAGCATATTTAAAACACCACATGGAAAGGAGATGAGGGGGCCATAGTCAGGTTATCAGCCCATTAGGATCTTTTCAGTGCGTTTGCCTACACAAATACCACTTCAATGAGGTCCTCTACAAATTATATGGGAGCCCAGACTGGCACAGTCAAACTATACAGGCCATGCTCCCAAAAAGCACACTACAAACAGCAAGAGTAGAGAGGAGGGGTTAAAAGTCATCAGCCCATTAAGATCTCTCCAACGTATAATAAGTATACCATATTAACATGTCATGGCCATGGGTCACTCTACCAGGCTATACCAGCATAGTTATGAGGGAACCATGACCAACCTGGGCTTCTTCATAGGATCATCAATGAGGTCTGCAGGTGCTCCCATAGACCACCTTTAGACAGTCCTGCAGAGTGCAGCTCAACTCGTATGGCTCAAAGATGATCAAATAAAAGCACAGAAATGGATCACCAAGGGTGCTCTTCTAAACTTTCATAAATTTATATAAAGTTCAGCCAGAAACGATTGAGGGATGTATACAAGACAACAATTCTGCTAAGCCATATTATATCATGCAAATGGGCCATCAACATTAAACAATCACCATTGTCTCCAGCTTGTGCTGCTCATATGCTGCATAAACTTCCTCAATGTACTCGCCAAATCCCAGAACCTGATAAAACAAGTGCAAATCAATAACCAATGCACACTAGGCACACTTAAAACATACAGTTTACCCATCTTGACAATTTCATTTTCATGAATACTAATAAGTAATAACAGTCAAAAAAATTATACTATATTTGGAACACTTAAACTTTGGAATTGAAAAGAAATAATTGAAATATAAATTATTTATGTATGAGGTTCCAAATACAATCTTAAATATAGATAAATATAAAATAATACATATACTTTATATAACAAAGATACTTATTTCTACATATTGTTTAAACTGCATCAACAAGAACCTTTATCCAATGGCATTTCTCAGCCAAACATACCACTGCCCAAGATGGAATAGCATGGTGCTACATACACTGTAAACCTATACAAATGTCAAAATATATAAAATTGTATAATCATTTGCCACCTCCAACAGCTACAAAATCCACCCACTATCTAAAATTCTAAATATTATGAAAATCAATTATTTGCCCATGTGCTCATAACACAGACAGAGTATATGATCAAGTAATTAAATCATCAGAATAATATAACCTGCAACTGAGCTACAGTTGGCTGTCAAAGTACAACGCAGAAAAATCAAGAATATCTACATATTCATACATAAAACCTAGTAAGATAGAAATGAAAATTAAGACACAAAATGAACCCTAACTTCAAAGAAGAGAACACATAAAAGATCAAATTTAAATTGGAAAGGATTGACGTGAGAGATGTAGCAATACAACAGCTTAATCATTTGAGAAATACCCCCAAAGCCTTCAACACATGCTCAGGTGCAATCGTCCTTCTTTCCTCTTTGTTACAGACTTCATTGGACTCGGATGAGATGAGGTTTATAAACTCTACAATGATACAGATCAACCAACAAAATCTTATTTAGTAGGAAGAGTAAACCACTAAAATCAAACGGAAAACAGCCACCAGAATTGAATCCAATGCAAATCATTTATTACATGCCCAAACTGATAAACAAACGAACAACCTGATAATCACACAAGTTTAGATACATAAATAAAAAATATTTACCATCAAAGATATTAATAAACTCCACATTCCGATCATTCACAGCGCAAAGGATACAATCTAGTAAGGCCTTTCCTTTGTCATATTTTAAACAAAGACCAGTGTGTCATCAACAAATTATGCAGCCAAGGAGAAACAATAAACAATTACCATTTATAAAATTACAAGCATAACAAAAACCTAACAGTTGTCAGAAATAACAAAATACTGCGTTCATCAATTCCAGTGACATCGATAATAATAGATACAGGCACTACCACTTAGAACAGCCAAAAAACCAAAAGAACAACAAGTGACCACTAAACTTAAAAGAGGAAAGGCAAAAAATAAAAAATAAAAAAATAAATGAGGAACACAAAAAAGCGCATGAACGAAAAATTAAACAGAAGAAACTGGGAAAAAAAATGAGAAAAGGTTTGAAAAGTCTCACCTACGCAACACTCGATCAACAAATCCTGGGCATCTCTGGCGACACGCACATCAGGGGGCAACATCTCTTTAATAATTTTGGTCATTGTTGCTGCCACCATCAATAATTTAACACCAACATTTTCTCAAAAAATAAAAACCTAAAATTTGAAGAAATAAAAAGATGGAAAAGTACCTTTAGGAAGAGAAGCGTCTTCCTTGGCCTTGCCAACGATGTCCATAGGCTCCATCGCTGAGATCTGAGGGATGAAAGAGGGAAAGAGGAGTCAACTAATTGAAGATCCGAGATGAAGGAAGGAGGTGGGCATGGCTGAGATGTGCATAGTGTGTGTAGTATTTATGAAAGAGAAGACATGGTTGTGATGGTGCTGCTTTTCAATGCGATGGATAAGAACGAGAGAAGAGAGCGAGTTCCTGCTTCCGTCACGCCCTCCCCTCAGTTAGGGCAACCCAAAAGCGCGTTGACGTCAACTTTCTTCACGCGCTCAACCCGCGCGTCGCCCCTTTCTTCCGGAACCCTCCAACAAACTTTCTGTTTGTCACGTAACCAATTCTTTTTTCATCTCACTTCCTATCCACGTAACACTTTGTTTTCCTCTGACAAATTAAAATTTACGCTTTCTTTTTTTAATTCATTTATAAAAATGTTCATTTTTAATTTTTAAGGTTAAATATAAATTTAAAATTTTATAAAAAAATATTTATTATTTTTTTAAGATGATAAATATTTCTGGATATATTTAAAACTAGTTTCTTCAAATAAATTAACAAAATTCTTAATTTATAAGATACAAAATTAGTAATCTTTTCATGCTTGCATATAAATTAAATTATTTTAAATAAAATATATATCATATGAATACTTTTAAATTTAATAATTTCTATCAATTTAAAAATATTAAATATTATAATTTTTAATAATAAATATTTTATAATATTTAAATAAAGTTAAAAAGAATTATAAAACTAAAATTAATATTAAACTAAAAATTAAATATATAATTTAAAAATAATAAATAATGTAATAAAAAATCATTCTTAAAATTTTTTTTATTTGAGAATACTTTTAAAATCACTTATATTAAAGAATTAGTCCTTACAATTTACACACATAATTATATACTTACTTGTTAAATTGTAATAAACTAATGAAAATTAATCCAAGTAATTGGTAATAATAATATTTTCCTTCTCGTATTTTAATAATCATTTATATATATATATATATATATATATATATATTGTTATTTATATTTATCAATAATCTATAATTTATAATTTATTTATCTTTATATATTAAAAGAATAATTTTAAAAATTTTCTTAAATGAAAGTACTTCAAGAATTATTATGTCATGTAAATTATTAGTGATAAGTATTTTATTATATTAAATAATAAAAATATATTTTTAAATTAAAAAGTAAAATATAAAAATTTAAAAAATTTAAAATTAAGATTAAATTTAAAAATTAATTACTCAATTTATAAATGCCATATGGCATGATGTGAAAACTAACTCTTAAACATGTTTAAATTTAATTTTTAAAAATACTTTTATTTAAGAAAATGCCATGTGGCATGATGAGATGTAAAGATGGTGAAAAAATATGTACTCGGGTATGGATGAAAATAGATTAAGCTAAGTTAAGCTTTGTATAAATAGGTTTGACCTATTTAATAATATTAAAGTCTAAGTTTGACCTATTATTTGTCATAGATTTTTATTAAGGCTAATCTCATCTTTTTAAAAGTCTACTTTATCTTATTTATCTTTCTAATTACCTATTTCGTATTGAGACCTTCAAACAAAGAAAGTATTTTATGACTCTCAATTGGAGAAGATATTTTACTGACCTAAAAATAAAGAAAAAAAATAGTGAAAAAGAATTACATATAATATAAATGATATAGGACTTTGTTAATAGTCATGCTTAGTTAGACATCTAAATTCTGTTATTTCTTTTATTCTTAAATAAGTCAGTTAGTTTCTTTGATTGGAAGTTTGTTAGGAGTTGTTAGTCATTACTAGTTATAAATAGTAGCCGCATTCCAAAATTTTGATTCATTCTTGATCAATTGTAAAATTCTGTAATTCCCTCTCTAATTCAATAAGATTTTCAGATTTCATTCTCTTTTTGAGGTCTCTAATTCTTCCAATTCTTCGCGTTATTCTTTCTCCTAGAATTGTCTATATCAATGGTATCAGATTGGCACCTTCCAGTGACGTTCATGGCAGAAACTAGAACTTAGGCAACGTTACGCGAACAAGAAGAACGGTTGGTCGCAGCACGCTTGGAAGCAAGATTTATGGAGATTGCGACAACCTTAAGGCAAACCATGGATTCGCTAATGGATGAATGAGTTCGATAATGTCTCAGGAAGCCTGTAACAGGATCAGATTCACTCATACAACAATTACATGGAATGAATGTACTTCTTCCACTTATTCTTGTGGCACAAGGTTAGTGTGAATTGATTTTCCCCATTTTAATGGTGATTCGATGAAATAATAGATTTATCAATGTGAAACATATTTTGCTATTGATGGAACACCTAAGGATGTTAAAACAAAGTTAGCAATGATTCATTTTGAAGAAAAAGCACATTTTTGGTGAAAACTCTCCCTATTAATAGTTTACCTTATTGGTTGGAATTTACTAAAATTTTAATTGAAGGATTTGGAGAAGTTTACCTTAGGCAAAAAGGAATTGTTGTTGATTATCATGAGTAGTTTGATGCAATTGTCTTTAGATTGGAGTTATCTCAAGAATATATGCTTAGTTATTTTTTGGAATATTAAAACAAGATATTCAAATGATTATTAGAATGTTTCAACCAATAAATATGAGGAAAGCTTTTTAATTAGCAAAGTTATATGACTCTACTACAGGAACTAGTTATACACCTAAACCCTTCTCGAAATTTCCTAAAAACAATACTGTGTCTAAGCTTATTTTGTCAAATATTCCAGCTAAACTATTAGAAAATCAACCTGTACCTACCAAAAACCTAACACAAACCAATACACAAGTCTATAGGAACCTACCTGCTTTTATGAGTGAGAGAAAAGTCAAGGGTCTTTGTTACTTTTGTGATGAACCTTTTACCCCTGCTTATGCTTTAACACAAAAAGCTGCAAATCCATGTATTAGAAGTAAATGATCATGAGATGTCAGAAGGGGATGAAGAAGAGTTAATTTAAGAAAAAAGTGTTGAAAGGACGAATTATGTGGATCCTCAGATACCAGTAAATGCACTTACAGGTGTAGCCAATTTTAAAACTATGAGAGTCATAGGGTACTATAAGAAAAAATCATTACATATTCTCATTAATAGTGGTAGTACTCATAATTTCTTAGATGTGAATATAACTAAGAAAATGGGATGCTTAATTGAAGAGATTTCACCAATAACTGTAGTTGTAACAGATGGAGTAAAGGTCAGTATAGCCTTTGTGGTGAGACAATTTTCTTGGTCTATACAAGGTTCAACATTTAGTTTTGATATGCTGTTGATTCCCTTAGGATTTTGGGATCTGGTGTTGGGAATAGAAAGGTTAGTCACCTTGGGGGATATCACTTGGAACTTTGATAAATTGACAATTTAGTTTTTTGTTTAAGGAAAAAAGTTTGTATTGAGAGGTGCTTCAAATAAAGGACTTAAGACTATGAAAAGAAAGCAGCTAGGTAAAACAATTGCATTTGGAGTTCATTTGTCCATGCTTCAGTTGTGTGATCAGAAGGGTGGTTTATCGTTACAATCCTTAACCACTCATACTTCTTCAGGTGAATGAAATGTTTCTATTGAGAACTTACTGTTACAATTTGAAGATGTTTTTCAAGAACCAGTCAGTTTACCACCTAAGAGGGAAGGTCATGATCATAAAATTCCTTTGGTTCAAGAGGTTAATCCAGTAAATAAAAGACCTTACAGATATGCAAAACAACAAAAAGATATAATTGATAAGTTGGTGCAGGAATCTTAAGAGTGAAATTATTCAAAACAACAACAACCATTATGTTAGCCTAATGATTTTAGTGTGGAAGAAGGATGGTTCTTGGAGATTGTGTGTTGACTATAGAGAACTTAATAAGCAAACTGTGTAATACAATTTCCTTATTCCTCTAGTGGATGAGGCTGATGTGCACAAAACAGCCTTTAAAACTTATGCTGACCACTTTGAATATTTAGTAATGCCTTTTGGGTTAACTAATGCCCCTGCCACATTTCAAGGGCTAAGAATGATGTTTTTAACGAATTTCTGAGGAAATTTTTACTTGTATTTTTTGATGATATATTGATCTATAGTATTAGTTTGGAGGATCATTTACGACATTTACAACTAGTTTTGATGACTATGAGATCTCATTCTTTGTTTGCTAAAAAATTCAAATGTTATTTTGGAGTGGAAAGGGTAGAATACTTGGGCCACTTTATTTCAAAGGAAAGGGTTGCCACGGATCCTGCTAAAATCATGGCTGTGCAGAATTGGCGAATGCCAAGGACACTTAAGCAATTGAGAGGGTTTCTTGGGCTAGCTGAATATTATAGAAGATTTGTCAAAGGGTATGGAAGTATTGCTAGGCCTCTAACTAATATGCTGAAGCAAAACAATTTCTGTTGGTCAATAGAGGCTAAGTCTTCCTTTTAGGCACTTAAAGATCACTTGGTTAGAGCCCCAGTATTAGCTTTACTTGATTTTTCTAAGGAGTTTTGTGGTGGAAGTGGATGCCTCAAGTATGGGTATTGGTGCTATTTTAATGCAGGAATATCATCTTATTGCTTTTATTAGTAGGGTGTTGAACTTGCAATAGTAGTCATTTTCTACTTATGAAAAAGAATTATTGGCAGTAGTATTTACTGTGCAGAAGTGGAGGCATTACCTGCTTAGTTCTCATTTTACCATCAAGACTGATCATAGAAGTCTTCAATATATTCTCAGTCAGAGGTTAACAACAACTTTCTAGTGAAAATGGCTTGTAAAGTTAATGAAATTTGATTTTTTCCATAGAATTTAAGCAGGGTCATACAAATATGGCTGTTGATGCTTTGTCTAGGTAGGAATTGGTGGAAAGTCATGCACTCATTACTCTCACACCTTAGAGTAATTTACTAGATAGAATAAAGTTGTCTTGGCAGCAAGGTTTGCACTTGCAAAGGATTATACAAGATCTACATACTGATGTTGGTTCACATAAGCATTATACATGGCAACAAGGAGAACTTAGAAGAAAAGGTAGATTGGTGATTGGCAAAGAGAAAAGCTTAAGGCATGATATACTTCTTTGGTTACATTCTGCAGCTGCTGGTGGTCATTCAAATAGGGATGTCACCTTGAAAAGATTGCAATATGTAGTGTATTTGAGAGGAATGTCAAAGGATGTAAAATTTTTTGTCATAAAGTGTGAGGTTTGTCAA